TTTTGAATTTATACAGATTAAAAAAAAAACAGGATGTTTAAAATCACCTGTTAAAACATAAATATTAATGCCAGCATTGTATGTGATATATAATTTCTCTACAAGTTTATTCTTTTTTCTTTCTTTCTTCTCTCTCTTTCTTCTTCTTTTTTTTTTTTTAGGCTTATGCATCTGATGTACATTGTTATAATTGGAAGTGACTATGAAAGGCTGCAAATAATCCCAGGAGCCAAACATGGAAATACAGGGATGTAGACCAGTTCACCTAACAAGGCAAGGTCAATCTTATAATGTGAGATTTGTTTGAATATTATGGTTTTGTCAAGATAATTCCAAAGCATGTATTTCCTATTGAAATTTTAGCTTTGTTTCAGGATAATGTAGCTACAATTTTCTTTGACTCTCTTAAGATGTATAGTAGAGAACAAAATTTTGTTTCTCTCTGATGTGTCTTTGAGATCGTCAAGAATTTGTTCTTACATAATTTTGCTATAGCATAATCTTTCAGAACATTACCCATAGGAACAATGCTGTTGTCATTTAAAATTGATTGATTTCAAGGTAAAGGAATGACAATAAACCTTCTGTGTCCGTTTTACACATAAACTACTAGAGGAGAAACTATATGTTAGAGTCATCTTCATTGTGCAGGCATCTCCTTGTAACTCTGATAAACTTTATACTAAAAATGATATCAACTCTTCTAGAAGTCTGTAGTCATCAATTTGTCTCTCAAGTCTGTAAAGAAAATGAAATTTTGTTTTAAATTTATTTGCATGTGAAAAGTAAAAAAGTGAATCTTGAAACAAGAAGAAGAAGAACAAAAGAAACAGGTTAAGGGGACTTGTATCAGGTGAAATATGGTTCTGCTATAGGGTAGCAGAATTGGTAGAGTCCTAGCTAGTAGGCAGTAGTGTATAGCTTAATATAGCACCATGTGGCATAGGTGTTTTCCAGTATACTTGTAACTAGGGATCAATAAACTGCAAATTTATTTAATTTTTTTTGCTAGATATTTAAAATAAAAGTTATTTTGCCCATATGGATTCCCACCAGAACATCTTAAGTGATGAACCAAAATGACCCAATCTTTTTTTTTTTTTTTTTTTAATGTAAGCATTTCTGATGAACCTGCCTGTCCGAAAAGCTACTCTTAGGATATAGTTTAGAGTTACTTCTTATGGTAGAATATGTTTTGGCTCTTGAAATCTTTTACCTGCTCTCTCGTCTTCTTTGTTATCTTGTGGTCCCTTACCTTGTAGTGTTTCCTCACTCTTATTTTCTTTTGTTCACATTTACTACACATTTAAAATGA